CCAGGGGAGCGAGGCAGGCCTGGACCTCGCCCACGTTCGTCGTAGCAGCCTCCTTGATTTGGACGTCCCGCGCCCGCGGCTTGACTGGCGAGGGGCGGCTGGCGGCGCCCTCCCCCACCGAGCGGGGCTGGGCGGGGGGACCCTGCCAGACCCGGCCCGCACCTTCCCGGGGCCAGAGGGCGACGGAAAGAGCCAGGAGGGCCTCGTCATTCCGCAGCTTGGGGTCACAGCCTCGGCCTCCCCGGAGGACACAGGCCTTCTCCCCGCTGCCACCGACATCCCGAGCCTCGGGATGAGGACACATGCCTCGAGGCCCCCCAGGGGAGAAGTCTGGGTCTCAGGAAGCAGATACTTGGAGGACAGAGGGCGAGAGGTAACGGACAGGAGGATGTGTGCTCAGCCTAGGATTGTGAGAGCCGTGGGGGAGCTTCGCTGGCCCTCACGCCACGCTGCCAGTCATGCAGTGGGCCCGGGGTCCGGGAGGAAGCACACCCCCCCCCACGAACCCGGACGTTGTCCTTAAGGACTCTGCCGGCTCTCCATCTGTGGAGGCCAGTTTGGAGGGATCCGGCCTCCATCCGGCGTCCATGTGGAAACAGGCGGCGCCCACACATCGTCAAGGGGCTGGGCCTCATCGGGGGTCCTCGTGGGCTTCGGAGCCACCCCTGCCCTGCTCGCACCCTGCCCCTCAGCCTCCGCCGTGGGGGACTGACTCCCCCAGCCCCGCCCAGTTTCCTTCTTCCCATTCAATGCCGCGTCCTGGTTTCCTCTGGCCTCATGGGAATCTCCTTCCTTCTCTTCCCCCATCTCCCCTCCGGTGGGCGCAGGAGCAGGGAAGCTAGAGGCCTCGTACCTCCGTGTGCCCTTCGGGGTGGCTGCTTCTCTCTTTCCTGGGCAAGCTCCCTAAAGTGCATGACCTTTCCCTCCCCCACCTGTGTCCCGTCTATAATCTGGAATGGGATCCCCAGCTAGGCCCCTCCCCTGAGCCGAGACCCTGTGATGCTTCCATGGGGGAATAAACCCCATGCCCTCCGTTCTCCAGTTCCCCGGGCCGCAGTGGTGCCTCTGACTGCCAAGCAGGGTGTCCTGTGAGGTGGTGTCAGGTTCCCTGGTGGTGGCCCTACCTAGCCTGGCTCTGAGGCAGGGAGGTGGAGGGTCAGGGCAGATGGGTATGAATGGGCATGGGGTCAAGAAGGAAGACACACCCGGGGTAGTGACCAGACTCCCACTCCCCAGGGCATGTTTGTGCAGAACCAGGGATCATGACTGGAGGGACCACGTTGAACCCTCTGGCCTCTGGGTCTTTCTGTGTCTCAGAGGCTTGAGAAAAACCGAAGGGGGGGAGCACGCCTCCATGCATGTGTGTCACCTGAGTCTCACCGCGTGGACCTTGACCCCTGACCTGAGCTCATCAGCCCAGCTGATGGGACACTTGGGAGTTCTGTCCCTCTTCCCCTGACCTACCCAGGGGCTGAGGCAGAGCTGGGAGGGAGAGTCCACTGCCTATGGCCCAGGGGCCCAGTAACCACGGCTGCCTCCCTAGGCTCATCTTTGGCACCCTGTACCCAGCCTATTCTTCCTACAAGGCTGTGAAGACAAAAAACGTGAAGGAATATGTGAGTGACCTCCCCTTCATCCGCCCCACCCCGCGTGACAGAGAGAGGGGAGGACAGTGGGTCATATTACAGATGGGATAACCTTGTACCAACGCTGACAGGCAGAGTTGGGGCCCTGGGTGTCCCTTCCCCCGGCCCTGGGATGATCAACAGACAGAATCGGGGTCCTGGGTATCCCTTCCCCAGCCCCGGGCCGTGGTAAATGCAGCCCTCTGTGCCCTCAGGTGAAATGGATGATGTACTGGATCGTCTTTGCCTTCTTCACCACGGCCGAGACACTCACGGATATAGTGCTCTCCTGGTGAGGTCCAGCATCCCCTCCCTGTACCTTGGGGCTCAGGGCCTCTGCCTTTCTCTACTCAGCCAGCCAAACACAAGACTGAGGCCCAGGGTGGAGTCCACCCTACTCCCATGGGGTCCCGTGTTCTTCCCCATGCCTGACTTGATAGCAGAACAAGAACAGACATGACCCCGCATTCCTTTCTGGTGGCAACCACAGCACCACAGTGGCATTCAGGAAACCTACTTCTGCCACATTGCCTGTGACCTTAGGCAGCTCAGAGCTCTCCAGGCCTTAGTTTCCCTATTTGGAAAATAGACATACAATTAAATCCTATGCATTTTTCTTTTTTTTTTTTCTTTTTTTTTTTTGAGTTGGAGTCTCTGCCACCCAGGCTGGAGAGCAGTGGCATGCCCATGGCCACCACCGCTTCAACCTGCTGGACTCAGACAATCCTTCCATCTCAGCCTTCCAAGTAGCCAGAACTACAGACATGTGCCACCATGCCCAGCTAATTTTTCTTGATTTATTGTAGAGATGAGGTCTTGCCAAGTTGCCCAGGCTGGTCTCGAACGCGTGGGCTCAGGCAATCCTCTCACCTCAACCTCCCAAAGTGCTGGGATTATAGGCGTGAGCCACCGTGCCTAGCCAATCCTATGCATTTCACTTTTTCCAGGCACTACTGGACTATGTATATATGAGCACTTTGAGGACAAGGAATATGTCTTCATCATCTGTGTGTATATATATATATATATATATATATATATATT